ACTAGCTGCCTTCCCTCTAGTCTTACAATGTTAAATAATGGACGGCTAGCGCAGATAGCCCTCGTGTAGCTTTGCGCAAAATTCAAAACAAACAAACAAAACCTGAATAATTTATTTTCCAAATTCAGTATTTGTAGTTTTGCACACTATACATAATAATCAAAGTTTGTTCCTACTACAATAATAATAACAAATCAAATGAAATATTGCAACCAGTTTTTCAGTTCTTGTTGATTTTTTTTACTTCTTTAAGCAATGGAAAATTTTCTGTGTAAACAAAACAAAAACATTCAACAGGTAAGTAGATATTACCATGAAATAGAAGAACTATTAGGTCGTCAAGAAATTAATGTCGCTTTTTGTTTTTAGATAAAAAAAAACCCGAACAACTTGTATATCAAAACATTTATTAAATGAAATAGTCTCCATTCTTATCGATGATTCTTTTCCATCTTACAATCGGGTTGTTAGTCCCCTGATTAAAGAAAGCACTTGGCTTTGAAGCGAAGAATATGTCGATGTCCTCTTTAACACCTTCCATATGTGCATACGTTTTCCCATTAAGATGGTGTTGCAGCGAACGAAAAAAATAAACGAAGCAACGTTCACACGTTGGAAACGATGATCATCGGAGAATTCGTGAGGCACCTAAACACCTTCTTTGTGGAGTTTTACTATTTTCATTAGATGTTTAGTATTGTTTCATGAGAGACGTGTAATTTCAGGGCTATTTCACGAGTGTGTTGCCTTGAGTTAGTCTCAACAAGCGTCTTCAGAGCATCAATATCAATTCCAAAATGTTGGCCCCTGCCATCACAGTTTTAAGGTTAAATTAACCTGAACGAAATTTGCTGAACCATCGTTGCACACTTACATTTCCATAAACTTCTTTGATATTCTTTGTGGCTACAGAGGCGTTGTTTTCCTTCTTGTATTCAAACAGCATTACATGCCAAATGTGTGTCTCGTCGAGTGCCATCACTATAAGGGATTAGAGTATACTAAACTTTACACATTATATAGGCTACACTAACTTGACGTTTAGGCGGTTCGTTTAACTATTATACGTGATGCACGTTTTTTGGAGATTGGTCAATGACAGTGTTCCAAAACGCGACATTAATTTCTTGACGACTTAATACATTAAAAATGGTAAGACCAAACCTGTCATGAAAAATGTTTTATCTAAATAAACTTTAACTACAACAACAAAAACGCTGCATACATGTATGTTTGTGTGGGGGGAAGGGAGTTTTAAGTCTATTCAAAAAACAAAAACAAACCTGAACGCGTCAATTATAATAAGTAGTTTTGAGATAGTTTATTAACGAAAGAAAAAGGGAAGAAAATGCAATGATCCAGAGGCCCAGTACTGAGTGTTTTTTCTTTTAACCGTGTGATAAGGATAAATTAACTAATTTTTCGTACAACTGCAGTATTAATTAGTTATTCTATGATAGACAATGGTTGGTGATGTGTTGGTTGCACTACATGTTAAAACTATATGACCACTAAAAAAAACTTGTTAGAATTCTATATACAGCAAACCTTCAGAATTTTCTCACATGGCCACACAACGGCCATCTGCGCATAACCGTCCTGAGAGGCTAAAGAGAAGATAACGCCCACCGCCAACTCTTGGGCTACTCTTATCTGAACGAATAGCGCGCACACAGTCCCAAAGTGTGGATCGCATTTTTGCGCCAACATGACGCGAACCGTCGGATTCGCAGTCTGAGCACACTAACCAACAGGCCATGCCTAGCAAACTAACCTTAACGAGACAGATGTCGTAAAACGGGACCATAAACACCCACTTGACGAACCAGTCTGAGCAAGAGATGGCCGTATTCATCATTGCATAACCTCTTCCAGATCATATGCATACAAGTAGGACATTAAACATCTGACCGGGAAGCGCACCGTGACAAGTTCCAGATGCACAGAAGACATAAGATTTAATGAGGATTTAGTTAGCACGGATGTACTTATAGCGAGCAGTTTTAACTACATAATCACCACATGTTTCTTAGTTTTCAGAATTTAGCGAATGATTTACTAGTTATCTATTTTTTTATCATACACTACCTCCCCCAATGCAGGGAGGAAATGGTTAGTTTCATGTGGCTACACATGTGTATACATGTTTAAATGTAAAAGTTTTTGTTTTTTTTTAAGATCACGTTCTCTGTATTATGTTCGTCAAAACCCTGTTTAGCGATGGGCATGTGCAGTTGCGTCAGGTACATGTATATTGGGCAAAGTTTACATGCCTTTACTATATTCATCAACATCGTAGGTTAGCGTATTATCGATTTAAAAAAAAAGTAATCACGTTTATAGAACATTTATTCAATGTAAACCAGTAATCGTATTGAACCAAGAAATGTCCTTAGGCTCATTAATAGCCTATTTTTTAACCCTTGCTTATTTTAATCTTGTTACCACAATGGAAAAAAAAAAGCTAAAAGTATCTAGGTTTTCTGTTTAGTTATTTTCTTATTCGCATTACTTGAATTTTACCCATTCTGTAATATACTGTTTAAAACAATCCCCTACTTTGACGTTTGCCTATTATCAAAACAAAAATAACCTTGTATTGTTTGCACGCAGTACAACTTCGTAGGAAGGATTTTAGGACCTAAAGGACTGACGACAAAGATGTTGGAACAGGAAACAGGGTGTCGAATTATGGTGCGAGGCAAGGGTTCCATGAGAGACAAAAAGAAGGTAGTTTTTCATCTTTTTCTTTTTTCTACTCCTCCGATACATTTAATATATTTCACAAAGTTAATAAATGGAGTGTAATTTAATTTATAGTAACCTTAAAATGCTAAGAAAGTTACAACAACTGGCTACTCTATTAATCCTTAAACAATGACAGTGCCACTTATTGGATATTTTTGTGCATCGTCATCATCATTATTTTTGTATGGTTATTTTATGGCCATCTTGCGATTATATCATATTCTAGCACGTGATGTTTTCCACTACCAAAATATATTTTTCATAGGTAAATTAGGTAAATAAAAGTAACAAGTTATGGAATTACATTGTTAAATGTAATTACAAACACGTAGTGATTATATCCAGACAATTTATCATTTATAAGATCAAAAATGATATCACTGGAAAATGCATTGCTTCACCATATTGCGTCATTAAATTTTTCCATGCTACAATGTCAATTCTTGAGGGACACAATTTAGACTTATTAGGCAGTATCAGCTTAGCCCATTTCTTAATATATGATTTATTGCACCGATTTTGATTTTTATTTGCTAAACATCCCACATACCATACGAAAATGGGGAGACTTATCTCGTATTTCATACACTGCGCGCGAAGACTAAGAGGCGACGCTTCACTGTCTATTTATGGATATCCTTGCTGCCTTCTGACGGAGGCCTCCAACTTCCCCATCTTCCGGGAAAATAAAGTACCAGTTTGCGCATAAGTTGGTACATTTTAATAAAAGTTTTCGGCTTGCGAGCTATTACTTCAAGTACTTGGTTCTAGTCTATTTAAAGTGTAAATGAGTTAACATTTGTTGCAACACAAAGAAACAAAATTACAGTTTCTACTTTGTATCTATAAACGCATACAAGTTTTATAGTTTCAACATGAACTCGTAATTGCAATTTGTTTTGTTACATCCGTAGTTTCGCTTGCCTTTGTGCGTAGTCCACAGTTAATGTCCTGATGTGATATTGTGAATATCCTGTTTTCCTGTCGAAATGGCATAATTCTTTGGGACGTTTTCTTTTTATTTGTAAACATGTTTTAATATATTCCTATTGTTTGTAACAAAATAATGACAATTTTTATTTTTTCAAGCCAATAACTAAATGTTCATTATATTTCGTATATCTATCGTCTTACTGCAACATAATGATAATAATAAATAATAAATAACATAATAATGATAATAATAACGAGAAACATTTAATAATTGTTTAGTGTGTATTTTTCAAATTGGAAAATAACCAAAACATAAGCCAATAAGATACATAAACGTTATTTTGATTTATAGTAGTTTTTCTTAATGACGAATTTATTAATTCGTACCTTCTTTAATTATATATGGTTTCAAGAAAATGGTAATAATTTACTTTAAAATGTTTCCATTGCTGCAACAGGAACTGGCGTAAGTATAACGTTTCTGTACTTGTACTAAGGTTTTGTTTTTCATTATATAATAAATCATAAAGATTTTATACTTTTTTGCCATCAGTATTATGTTTGGAAAATGATGTTTACTATAAACTCAAACAAAATTGGGGAAATGAAGTACTCGTATTTATATTTTGAAAAAACTCTTAAAATCTCCATTTTTTATGATAAAAAAATGTCATATCCCCTCTAAGTAATGAGCTATTCTTGTCAACAATCCGTTCTAACTAAATATAGATTTTATAACAAGATTTTTGCCCATTTAACAATATCTGAAAGGATAGTTTTGCATTTATTTACTGGTTATAAGTATTTTAATACAATTTACAGCTTTTACAGTAAGGAAGAATATTTCTAAAACAGGTACGACGTTTCGTTAACTGGTGCCATCGTTCTCAAGTACACAAGTTTTAACGTTAAAGGTTTTAGTGTTAAGCAGAGGCGGATTGGCACCGGTCCTGACGATATCACATGCTGCATACTGGCTAAACAATTAAAATCTAAAATCAGTTTTTAAGATCCGCCCATAATATTAAGAAATTTAGTTTTACTAAGCCTTCTTTACCGTCATAACTTGTGTACTTAAATGATCGCACCAGTGATCGAAACGTCGTACCTATTTGAAAAATATTCTTCCGTACTGTAACTTATAATTAAAATAATGTCTGAAATAGTAAAAACGACTTAAGCTTTAATTCATATATAATTTTTAAAACTACTTTTCGGCTTAAGCCATTTTTAAGGGTAAATTTTACAGCAAATAGTATGCTGCCATTAGTTACTGTCTAGTTCCGAGCAATAAAATTAATCGGCTATTTTTTTTTTTTTTTTTTCAAGGATAACGTTTGAAAAATTGCTAACTCGGTATTATATTGTACTCTCGCAGTCATGCATTATTGTTGCTCATAAAATATTATATAAAACAAAAAATAATAGTAAGTCATTTATAGTTATTTGTAATTCTAAGAACTTACGACCGAAAACAAAGAAATGTAATAGTTTAAATGCCGAAATACATAGGCCATTCGGGCAAAATTAGAAGCGGAAAATATGGTTATTCGGGCAATTTTTACCTTCATTCTGCTTCCAGTTTTTCCCGAAGTTTTTTACTCATAACCTCATTCGGGCAAATATTGCATGCATACACATGCACACACACACACACACACACACACACACACACACACACACACACACACACACACACACACACCGAATAATTCCC